GGCTTGCGGACACCCCTTTGAAGCCAGGAGGGTGGGTGGGGGGCAGTCACACCCGAGGGGTGTTGAAGCCTGCGCCACCCTCTCAAGTTCATCAGGCTTCACAGGGAACCGGCTTGGTGCCCAGGACATGGATCAGAGGAGGCATCGTGGGCCTGGCTCCGCGCCCAGCTCCCCCTTCCTCATCTTTCCCCACCCAGCGATCCTCATGGAGGGCACCAGAGTCCTCCCCAAATGGCCTGTTAGAAGCTCCCACCCAGCCCGGCCTGGGGTCAACCAATAAATACAGCTGGGTTCTCCTATGATCCCCAGATGGAGCCCCCAGGGCAAGGCCCAGCACACCCAGAGCCCGACAGACCTGGGGGCCCAGACATGTGTTCCGTTCTTGGGCCCCGAAGGACTGGCGCCCGTCTGCTGACCTTCCCGCAGCAGCCGAGGGTGCTGGGGCCTGCCTGGTCCACATGGAGAGGTGACTGTGAAGGGGCGAGGGAAGCCCGGGGCAGCCCCTCCCGAGCGTGACGGTCGACACTCTGGGCTCATCCTCTCTAGGACCCCCTTGATCATGGCCTCTGCCTTCCCAGGCAGGTCCTGGCATCACGGGCCTCACTCTATGCCCCCCACTCCTGCAAGGAGGGTGCCCACAGGCCCCCTCGGTTCTCCAGGAGCCTCCCAGCACACCGCATGTGCGTGTCCATCTTCTCCCTGGCTGAGCGCCCTGAAAGGGGGATGGGCTGTGTGGGCGATAGGTACTGAGGGTCAGGCACAGGGTGTGCATGGTGTGCAGAGGCCAGGCCCAGAGACGTGCCCCATCCCCAAGCCTGCACCAGCCCTTGGAGCCTCCCTGCCAGTGAGGTTGGGATGTGAGGCACCTTGCCTTTCAGATGCTCTGCCCAGACATCCGCTGCCTGGCCACAGCTCAGGCCGAGGCATCCTCCATGCTCCTCGTCACCTCTTTCTTCACATCATCCAAGAACGAGACTTCCACGCTCCCACCACCGCCTCTCAGCTGCCCCCTGCAATGGTGGGGTGCATGATTTCTTTTTTTTTTTTTTTTGTGGAGAGATTTTTGCTACAGGGCATGTGCAATTGCTGGGCAGACAGACAAAGACAGAAAGCAAGAAATCGCCCCCTAGAGGGGATGGCCATACCGCAATCCTTTCTCCAGATTTTGGGCACACATGTGCACACACCAGGCATGAGTTTTAAGCCACTAGGTCCAGGACTTGAACCACAGTTGACTACATGGGAGTCCAGCAATGTAACCATTACACCATCTGCTGGTTCCAATGATCTCATTCTTAGAAACACAGGGGTGCAGGGCAGTTGGTGTGCTCCCCTGGGGGGGGGGGGAAGAGCACCGGGCCAACGGGCACCCCTGCATGGCGCC